AAGGTACAGGATAGTTCTAGAAACGTGGCGTCACACTAGTCATGTGACTTTGCTGACGCAACAATATATAATGAAGGTAAGATTGTGGCAGTTGGATATCAATCATTGTTATGTTTAGTAGCCTATGCAATCACGCAAGTATAATTACTAGTTGCATATTTGTTTTAATTCTTTTTTACTGGATACTAATTACTAGTTAGTTTTGGCTCTTAAGTTGTTGCTATCCTTCTGGAAGTTTTAAGAAGGTTTTATATAATAGTAGAGATTCGATCCTGGGTGGTTTTGGCTTAGGTGATTGTAAGGATATTAATTATGACAATGGAACAAGAAATAACAGTAAAGGTAACTTCAGCTTTTTATTGTTTTATTTCAGGTGCAAGCTTTTAACTAAATATTTCCAATGACTACAGAGTATTTATTTCACTTATGTATATTAATAACTTTTCTTTTTACTATCAATCGATTTGTGTTCCAGATGTACTTGTCTTTCAAGAAATATGAGCTTACCCATCCAAATAATTGTGAACTCAACTACATCGATATATATGCAGACACCCTTAGTGTAGATGACCGTCTGGACAGGTTTTGTGGAACAGCTACTGAACCTCAGAGGTCAGAAGGAAACACACTCCACGTGAGATACTTTGCAGATCCTAAGGCATTCTATGCCAAATTCTCAATCGTTTATACAGCTTTCAGAGAATCAGGTATGTTATTAAGTCTGTTAATGATGTTTTACCAGCTTAGAACACTCTGATACAGATAGTCATATAAGGTAAGAATTAGACAGTTCATTATAAATCTTATAATTTTTAATAGAGCGTTTTGTAAAACCAATTAGGTCATTGTCATTGTAATATGCATCTCCATAGTCTTTACAAGCTATATGTATATATAATTGAGTTCATTATATTTAAAAAAGTTTGAAGCCTGACTACATCATTACAGTCAAGGTTTTCATGCTCGGTCATGCTCTGTCTCACAACTGTGCATCTTATCAATAGCCCTGCAGAGTAGGTTCCAATAAAAGAGACTCCATCATGTACAAAGTACATCACACCCTACTATATGCTTTTCCTAATCCATTTAGTGTAAGAATGATGATTTCTCAGAGCCAACTTCAACAATAATCCGACAAAACTCCATTGCTACTGCATCTGACGACTTGAGCAGCATGTCTTTTTATGAATAGCATGAATACGCATTTCATTTCCCATCTGTGCTATGGTTGAATGGGAGCTTTGCCTGGAAACCTTATCTTGGTCATCAATGGTGAACCCATACCTGTTCGCCTCATTTTGGTACAAAGCCAGTATTTCTGTAAGCAGAGTTCATCTTGATCTTTGTATCCACTCTTCCAATCCCTAACATGTCCTTATGCAATTTCCAATAGTAATCATCAGTCCCTTTGAAAAAAGTTTCGTGACATTCTTGTACCACTTTTGTAAATATTTTCCATCATTGACTGATAGAAAATGGCACGAGACTTAATACAGTTATCAACTACACATATGCTACATTGAGTGTTATCCCAGACTGCCATTTTTCCGGATACATACTTTTCTTACAGTTTTCTGTAGTTCCTTTTCCTCTCCTGGATATATTGTGGAAGCAATCTACTTACAAGTGGCTAGTGTCGCATTACCAGAAGATCTTTCTTGATCATGTTGCATATTGACACCTCGGGCACATGAACAGCTTTTGCCACTGATCTTTATGTTTGTGGATTCTCACATGTTACAAGAGGCCACACTGCTTACCACAGCTGGGATATGACTTTTTGCAGGTCTCTTTCTGAGTAATCGTGGTTCCACAAGTTGATCCACAGTCCTTTGTTTTCCAATGCCATTTAAAGCAGGGTATATACCCATCTTAGAAATTATAAATTTCTCATCTGAACACATCTTTATTATTTGACTGTATGAATATTTTACATCATAAAGGGCTGTTACATATCTTTTTCAAAAGCAATCAATCTTTAGTATTGTTGCGTCAGCGAGGTCACGTGACTAGTATCACGCCACGTCCTTCGTGAATTATCGGGAGACTACTAGATTGGGGGTAGTCTGGTATATATAATATGGTCACAACGTGACGGAACAATGAGTAATCAAACTACAGCTTAGCAGATTTGATGGCAGCAATACAACAGCAGTTGCAAGAAAACCTGCAACAGTGGCAGCTCGAACAACAAAATAAACAAGAAGAGAGATTACAGCAGTTGTTAGAGGAGAAAGAAAATAAACAAGAAGAGAAATTATAGCAGTTGTTAGAGGAAAAAGAAAAGGTTTCCTTTCTTGTTCCAGTTGCTACTGCTGTAGTCTCTCTTCTTGTTTAAAGAAGTACAAATGGAAAACATTAGTAAAGTTAAAAGGAATTAGATACTTAAAGGACGATCTATTAGTCTTTTACTATGAGGAGGATAGATTGACCATTGACTTAATCAGCCCCAGACAATGGCAAGCCCCTTACAGAGCCCGCAGCTAAACCCTAATGCAGACATATTCAGTCCCGTTAGAAGTAACATCCCAGATATGAATGTCAGTAATAGGAGTGATCCAGTGCGAAGGAAGCTACAGGAATTCGATGGGAAGGCACCGTTTGGAAGCATATAGAGCACAATTTGAGCTACCGGCAGAGATGAATGGATGGACATAGGAGCAGAAAGCAGTATATCTGGCAACGAGCTTGAAGGGAC